TTAACCTACTAGCCTGACTGTACTCGGGCCGACGCGTGGGGGGGGCTTCTCTTAAGCCCACGCGGAGTGCTATTTAATCGCAGCCACTGCAGTGAAGACCGATGGTAGTAGGATTCCAAGTCGCCTCCACCTGCTGCAACGCAAGCGCCGCTACACCAGCAGACCGAAGCAGCGGGGGCGACCAAATGATGGTTTTGTCTCGCTGGAGACATGGGATGCCTCCCTGGGAGTGGTGGGATGGGGCACGAAACCATGTAAATAGTATGGTTTTGCCTCCCTGGAGAGGTGGGATGGGGCACGAAACCATGTAAATAGTATGGTTTTCGGATACCCTCCTCGCTCAGGCGGGGCCTCCCTGGAGGGGTGGGAGGGGCACGAAACCATGTAAATGTAATACCCTCCTCGCTCAGGCGGGGCCTCCCTGGAGGGGCGGGAGGGGCACGAAACCATGTAAATGTATTCCGATACCCTCCTCGCTCAGGCGGGGCCTCCCTGGAGGGGTGGGAGGGGCACGAAACCATGTAAATAGTATGGTTTTCGATACCCTCCTCGCTCAGGCGGGGCCTCCCTGGAAGGGTGGGAGGGGCACGAAACCATGTAAATAGTATGGTTTTCCGATACCCTCCTCGCTCAGGCGGGGCCTCCCTGGAGGGTGGGAGGGGCACGAAACCATGTAAATAGTATGGTTTTCCGATACCCTCCTCGCTCAGGCGGGCCTCCCTGCAGGGGTGGGAGGGGCACGAAACATGTAAATAGTATGGTTTTCGATACCCTCCTCGCTCAGGCGGGCCTCCCTGGAGGGTGGGAGGGGCACGAAACATGTAAATAGTATGGTGTTCCGATACCTCCCCGCTCAGGCGGGGCCTCCCTGGAGGGTGGGAGGGGCACGAAACCATGTAAATAGTATGGTGTTCCGATACCCTCCTCGCTCAGGCGGGCCCCCCCCTGGAGGGGTGGGAGGGGCACGAACCATGTAAATAGTATGGTATTCCGATACCCTCCTCGCTCAGGCGGGGCCTCCCTGAGGGGTGGGAGGGGCACGAAACCATGTAAATAGTATGGTTTTCGGATACCCTCCTCGCTCATGCGGGGCCTCCCTGGAGGGGTGGGAGGGGCACGAAACCATGTAAATAGTATGGTTTTCCGATACCCTCCTCGCTCAGGCGGGGCCTCCCTGGAGGGGTGGGAGGGGCACGAAACCATGTAAGTAGTATGGTTTTCGGTATGGACTGGTATGGAATGGTATGGTAGGTATGGTATGGTACGGTATGGTATGATATGGTATGGTATGGTACTGGAGGTATGGTATGGTATGGTACGGTGTGGCATTGGTGTGATATGGTATGGTATGCTATGGTACGCCATGGTATGGTATGGTACGGTGTGGTACGTATGGTGTGGTATGGTATGGTATGGTATGGTATGGTATGTATGGTAGGAACTATGGTATGGTATGGTGTGTGTGGTAGGAAGAATATTGTGCTGTATGGAAGATGGAGCGGGAGGTGGGTGGGAAGGAGAGGGTGTTCTGGGAAAACAAGAACCCCACTCAGGATGTGGGGAATAAAACATACGCAAAACATACCCCCAAACGATCAAATAATACTCAAATTATCCTGGCGAAAGACCCAACCATATGCAGTTGTGAATACCGCAATTGTGAATACCATCTTCGCCCGCAGTCCCTATGTGGCCACGGCTTCCCGCCGGAGCCCGACATGCTCAGGGACACGTTCGTGGCCGTCTTCGCGGGCGCCGACGACGACAAGGACGGCGTCCCTCTCACCGAGGAGCAGAAGCAGGAAAGGGCCTTGAGAGCCATGAGGGAGGAGGTGGCGTTGCACGTCGACAAGGCGGAGTACGACGCCCAGGCGCGGTTGTTGAAGCAGCACAACTATGGGGCCACGATCCTCGTGAGGGGTGTGCCGAAATGGCCCGGGGCCGCCATGCGAACCCTGCCACTGGCGCCTTCGGTGGAGCTCCTAGTGGGGCCACGGTCCTCGTGAGGGATGTGCCAAAATGGCTCTAGGCCGCCATGCGCACCCTGCCACTGGGGCCTTCGGTGGAGCTCCCTTGGGGCCACGATCCTCGTGAGGGGTGTGCCGAAATGGCCCGAGGCCGCCATGCGAACCCTGCCACTGGCGCCTTCGGTGGAGCTCCCTATGGGGCCACGATCCTCGTGAGGGGTGTGCCCAAATGGCCCGAGGCCGCCATGCGACCCCTGCCACTGGCGCCTTCAGTGGAGCTCCCTATGGGGCCACGATCCTCGTGAGGGGTGTGCCGAAATGGCCCGAGGCTGCCATGCGAACCCTGCCACTGGGGGCCTTCGGTGGAGCTCCCTATGGGGCCACGATCCTCGTGAGGGGTGTGCCGAAATGGCCCGAGGCCGCCATGCGAACCCTGCCACTGGGGCCAGTCGGTGGAGCTCCCTATGGGGCCACGATCCTCGTGAGGGGTGTGCCGAAATGGCCCGAGGCCGCCATGCGAACCCTGCCACTGGGCCTTCGGTGGAGCTCCCTATGGGGCCACGATCCTCGTGAGGGGTGTGCCGAAATGGCCCGAGGCCGCCATGCGAACCCTGCCACTGGCGCCTTCGGTGGAGCTCCCTATGGGGCCACGATCCTCGTGAGGGGTGTGCCGAAATGGCCCGAGGCCGCCATGCGAACCCTGCCACTGGCGCCTTCGGTGGAGCTCCCTATGGGGCCACGATCCTCGTGAGGGGTGTGCCGAAATGGCCCGAGGCCGCCATGCGAACCCTGCCACTGGCGCCTTCGGTGGAGCTCCCTATGGGGCCACGATCCTCGTGAGGGGTGTGCCGAAATGGCCCGAGGCCGCCATGCGAACCCTGCCACTGGCGCCTTCGGTGGAGCTCCCTATGGGGCCACGATCCTCGTGAGGGGTGTGCCGAAATGGCCCGAGGCCGCCATGCGAACCCTGCCAGCCTTCGGTGGAGCTATGGGGCCACGATCCTCGTGAGGGGTGTGCCGAAATGGCCCGAGGCCGCCATGCGAACCCTGGGGCCTTCGGTGGAGCTCCCTATGGGGCTACGAAACGCTGTGCTGGGTGGGTGAAACGCAAGGAGGAGGGGGAGGAGGAGAGGAGGAGAGGAGACGCGGGCCACCGTCTCTTCAAAACGAGGACCCAACACCACAGGATGGTTGGGAAAAATCGTCCCCAGACTAGTTTTGTACTATTTTTGAACATTCCTCCTGTAGGGGGACGTGCCACGTGCCCGACTAAGAATCAGCGACAAAAAACTCCAACGCGAGGGGGTCTGGGTCTGTTGGGGCCCGGGGGGCCCTCCTTCGGGGGCGGCCAATTAAGAGGGAGGCGTCCAAGAGGGGGGGGGCGCAAATCATGGCCGGCGGCATGTGCGCGGCGCAGGCCCCCCCTAGTCATCACCCCCCACCTGGCCGCCCCCGACTCCTGTGGCCGTCGTGCGACCATCTTGACGCCAAGCGCCAGGCGTTCTCGGCGGTGGCTTTTTGGAGGTCCTTGTGCCCGTCTTGGGCCCTTCCTGGGCCCCGCCAAGGCCTTCTCTTTGGCGATCTTGAGTTGATATTCCCAGGCATGATCGCACCGTTAAAAATTCGATATTCCCGGACATGATCGCGTCGAGATTCCCTGACATGATCGTGTCGATAAAAAATTCAGGATCCTGGCGGTTATTCGCCGTTTTTGGCCTCTGCAGGCCCTCGCTGGGAACCGGGACCGTCAAAAAGCGACTCAGGATGGAAAACCGGTCCAGGGGGAAGGGTCGGGACTTCCAGGGGCCGCGCATCGAAAAAATCGAGACGTCGCCTGTCTGGAGATGGGGCCTTGCAGTCAACCCTTCTGACAAGGACGCACGATAAGGATGCAAGGGCCTTGAAGGCCATGCCGACGCTTTGCGAGCGGGGTGCGGCCAGCGAGGGCGGCCAAGGATGCGCCGAAGGGGAAGGATGCAAGGGCAACCTTGGAAAGTCGCTCATCCTTACCATGTGGGTTGACTCTAGGAGCCGATCTGAAGCCCGCAAGCCACACGCCACAACTCAAAGCAAGACACATGGTCTTGTGAGATCTGAGATGAGCTACCATCTTGGTGGCTTCCCTTGCCGAGGCCAAGACATGTGCCAAACGCGCTGGTGCTGCGGCCGAGGCCGGCTGAAGGGGTTGAGACATTCTACGAGGGGAAGTCCCTCCCCTGGATCTGGACAGGGGTGCGCATGTTGTCAGAGGGCCTGCCATATGGCTGCATACACACAAAGATGGCACTCCAAGATGTCGCAAGGTTGCCAAACTTGGATGAAGATGCCGTCCAACATACCTCCGCGGGGCCTTACATGCCTCGAAGAAGGCTCCGGATGGCTACGAAGCCTTCTAAGGGTGACCTTTTTTTCGCAAAAACACTCGATTTCAATATTTTGTGTTTAAGCCTCTCGGATTTCGACTCGAATTCATGCCGCATAATGGCCCCACGATGGCCAAGGAGAGCCACAAGACAGGTCCAGAAGGGCTCCAGGACAGAGGCCCGAAGCTCCCGAGAGCATCCGAAGAGCGCTTCAAGAGGGCACCCAGAGGCAAGTACCTAACCCTCACACAGGGCGACACTAAGTCACGAAGCCTCATGTTGATCAATGCTCCCCTAGATCGGCCCAGGAAGAGCCCGAAGACCCCAAGAGGGCCACAAACACCTCCACCAACATCCCAAGAGGGGCCGCTGGAGCATCCCTTGTTGGATCCTCCCTCTCTGGACCATCCCCCCTGGATCCGCCCCCTATGGATCCTCCCATGGACGCGAAAGGCGTTACAAGAAAGTTAGGGAAAGCAAAGGGGAGACGGAGTGCAGGGGTGGCGACGTCTCCTTTTCCTCCTCCTTCTCCTCCTCCTCCTCCTCCTCCTTCTCCTCTTCCTTCTCCTTTTCCTCCCATCTACACATCTCTCCCTCTCTCTCCCTCTCATCCTCTCTCCTCCTGGTCCTCCTCCTCCTCCTCCTCCCGCACTCTTTCCAGGGATGGAACATCGACTCCTTCACGTTCTGGGAGGCAGAGCTGGAGCACGCGCTCGAAACGCTGCTCCTCGATCGGCTCCTCGAGGGGCTCGACGGGCTCCCCGGGTCCTCCAGCCGAGACCCACCGCTGAGGTGGAGGATCGGATCGGATCGGACCGGCAGCCCGCGGAAGCTCCACGATGTGGAGACCATTTGGGGGGGGGCGAAGCAATTACAACTCCAGCCCTGAGCCCGCCTCGAGGGGGGAAGGGAGCAGCCAAGACCGCGAAGGCCCAGACCTTGCACCAGGCTCAAGGCCCAGGGTCACCATCAACGGGCCCGGAACATGAAGGGACGACTCTGCTTAGGTCGGGCCTGTTCCCCTACAGGAGGATTTTGGGCCAAAAATTGAAACCGCTCAGGGAAAAAAATCCAAACATGTTCAAAACATGTAAAAACATCGTACCCATATTTTTATCTATAAAATGGGCACTCACCCTGTAGAGGAACACGCCCGACTTAAAACTATGCAGGGCCCCGAGGTGGAGGAGGCGGCGCAGGGACCGCGGACAGCGGAGCGCAGGTGCGGGGGCCGGCTGCACGCAGGAGCGCTTTCCTGGGCAAGCGTGGCCCTCGGCGTGCGCTTCTGAGGGCCGCGAAGAGGCCAAGCTCGAGCACGCACGACGCTGCCATCGCACCGCCTTCGGCCATCTGGGGACGGCGCGCAAAAATGGATTAGCGATCCACGGATCTGGCGCGCGGTCGCCACGTCCATGGATCGGGAGAGGTGCCCCCCCCAAAACGCGGCCAGCGCCGCCTCGCTCGGCGGCGGAAGCCCGCGATTTCCCATGGAAGCGGGACCCGCCGCAACTCCATGCCGAGGAGGAGGAGTATAGGTACCCTGCATGCCGAGGAGGAGGGAGGAGGAGGAGGAGGAGGAGGAGGAGGAGGAGGAGGAGGAGGAGGAGGAGGAGTTAGGAGGAGAGGAGGCGCAAGAGGGGGAGGAGGAGGAGGAGGAGGAGGAGGAGGAGAGGAGGAGGAGGAGGAGGAGGAGAGGAGGAGGAGAGGAGGAGGAGGACCCCTTGGTCCATGTTTTCGATCGCCTGACATCTGGGGGCGGCGCGCACGGGGGGAGGGGAGGGCTTCTTGGAGGGAGGCCGCGGGCCCTCCGCGGCCCCCAGGGTGTCGTTCCCTCCGCTGCCTCGTGCTGCTGCGGCTCTCCCCGGGTCGTCCGCCGTGCGGGCCTCCGGGCGGAGCGGGGCGCGAGGGAGCAGATGTCTACACCATGCCTGACGTTGGCGTGCTGCTGCGCATACGCTGAAGTCGGGCCTGTCCTCCTACAGGGGGGTTTAGGACGAAGAAGATACCCCCAACATATTCAAGAGATGCTCAGAAATAATGGGAAAACGCCCCCTGAGTATTTGAAACAACTATTGTTGAATCTTTCCTCCTGTAGAGGGACAGGCCCGACTGAATTCTACACCACCCCTGACGTTGGCGTACTGCTGTACATACGCTCATGCACGTGATCTGCAACCGACGTGCCGCCTAAGCACAGTTCTTGACTCATTAACCGGCTGACAGGCTGCTTCTCAGAAGGCGCCGTGCTTACATCTATAGAGAAGGCCCGCGCCTTCTGCGAAGCATGGGCGCTTTTAAGAAGCCTCCTCCCCCGAACGCCCCTCCCAGATCCCCGCGTAATTTTTTCATAACGCGACCCCCAGGAGTCCGAACCCCTTCCCCAGGACTGGCTTTTCACCCTGAGTCGTTTTTGGACGGTCCCGCGGCCCTGTAAGGGCCCCCGGAGGCCGAAATTCAAACAAGAAACGTCCCGTCGTGATTTTTTCGCAACCCGAGGGGGTCTGGTGAGTGGACGGGTTCGGATGGGAGGAGGGAGAAAAGGGGGTCGGCGGGGGAGAGGGCTGGCGGAGAGGGCGGGGGAGAGAAGCACGGAGCAGAGCGGGAGACAGGGGGGGAGGAGGGAGGGGGCGATATTATTTTCCTGTACAGTAGGAGCTCGACCACAAGAAAGCTTCCACAAGAAAACCCAACACTGAGAGCCCAGGACGTCCATTGATTTACGGTGTGGGAACCTCACGCTTCCCATAGCAAAACCATCGAAACCCAAGAAACCCAGGGCACCCTGGAGGCAAGCAGGGTGTTCCTTGGCATGGGTCTCCACTGTACGTGCTGACCTCCTGCCGATCCAGGAGGGCGCATGGGCGGATGAGCAGTAGAACAAGGACGCGGCGGAGCAGCAGCAGGGGAAGGGCGAAGCGAAGGACGAGGAACAGGATTAGGATGGAGCTCCGTCCACTCTGCGAGAGAAGACCTTGGCTTCGCCGTCCCCCCACTGCTAAAGGGTCCCTGGGACACACAAATAAATACACACAAATCACAGGAATTCCCATAACTTCCCATATTATCTGGATTTTTGTCTTCCCCCCCACTTCCCATATTTTCTATATTTTCTGGGGAATCGACCATTAATTGTGTCTGTGTGTTTTTTCCCCTCCTGAACTGCCCCCCACCCGGTGATTTGCTACGGTTGGGAACTTCTGCGCAGCGTGTCGCGGCGGCGGCACTGGCGACACGCTACAGTCGGCCTCGATTGGACGGGACACGCGAGAGGACACCCTTCCGAGGGCCACATCGCCACAGGAGTGTAAGAATGCACGTGTCGCGAGGCACAGGACACAAGCCGGGAGCGGCCAAGAGGGGGGTGTCCAAGAGGGGGGGGGTGCAAATCATGACCGGCGGCATGTGCGCGACCCAGCGGGGGGGCCAGGGACGTAATGAAATAAGAAGAGGCGCCATGACATCTGGGGAAATATCATGGCCCCCGCCATGACATCCCCCCCCCCCCCCTAGTCATCACCATCACCCCCCTCTTTGCCGCCCCCGAACAAGGGTACCCTTGAGCTGGCAGGGTCGACCTACTGATCCGGGCCGACGGTATCCCCGGCAAGCGGACGGCGCGCCGCCCGGCGACGCGGGGTGGGAGGCCGGGAGGGGCTCGGGGCGCTGACACTCAAGAGAGGGGGGCGTGGATCGCGTGTCGCGCCGAGGCGTGGTGGGCCAGACCCGGCGGAGCGACACGCTGAGCCGAAGTTCCTGAACGCACGGGCAGCGCACCCCACCTGAAAATCAGCGCGAGCCCACCTCACACCTGCGTGACCTTGAAACGTATTCGGGCCCTCGGCCACGGATCGAAGCTGGGAGCCCCACCTACCAGGCCGGAGAACATCGGTAACCAAACACCTGCATCAACACCACCACAGGGAGGACCCGAACGACAGGTGTTCAGGAAGTTGCGTCTGCTGATGGGGATGCCAATGTCTGGACGCGTCAGATGTACCCACATGCGAGTAAAGACGCACTGTGTTTTGCGCAACGTGATTTTCGCAAGCGTTGCTGCGCAATGCCCTGGAACATGCAAGTTGGGATACGCCACGTGGGGCATGCAAAGTGGAATACTCCTGCTAAGCTGGGCATGTCAATTGTGGAATCTGAGCTCAGGAAGCTCGGACATGCCATCTTGACAACAGGCAGAGACTGAACAGTACGCGTTCGAGGAGGCACCAGGCTGAAGCTGGAGCTGGAGCTGGGCTGGAGCTCAAGCTGAAGCTGGAGCGGAGCCGGAGCTGAGCTGAAGCTGAACCTGGGCTGGAGCCGGAGCTGAGCTGCAGCTGGGCAGGATCTCGGCTGGAGCTGGACCTGGACCTACAGATGCCCCTGGAGCTGGACCTGGAATCCCACCAGCCCTCCGGGCGGATGTGGCCTAGGGCATGTTCCTGTGATTACCCTTTTGTTTCTTCCTCTCCCTGGTGAGCGTTTTTTTATTTGGCGTTTCGACATTGGGAGGAAGGGGGGGGGAGGCAGGGGGGGGTCTGGCTCCAGACCTCTGCTTAGTGCGACTGTTTGCAAGAGTGCTGCCTCTGGGGGATACTCCACCCGCTCGAAACAGGCCCCCCAAAAAAGTCAAGATCTACTCCATGGGGGGGAAGGGGGGGTTGGGGGGGCCCGCGCCGATTGGCAAAACAACGAATGAAAACAACTACCTGCTCCCACTTTGGGGAAGTGTTTGCACCAGCTGCGGCAGCATACGAATCATGCGCGGGCGCCTCGCGATCACGCTCCACTGCCTGCTTGACCATGGGCTGGCGGGGGGTGGGGGGGTGTGGGGGGTCATCCCAACGCGTGCAGGCCCACCCCCACCAGCCCGACCAAAAAGGGCGCCGCCGCCACGGCCGCAGCCGCCGTACTCCCTCCCTCACTCCCTCCCCCTCCCTCCCTTACTCCCTCCCCCTCCCCCCTCCCCCGCCCCCTCCCCACCTCCCACCATTCGCTCCCCTCCCATCCAGCTAAGCCTCCCCCCTCCTTTCTCACCCTCCGCCGCCTCCTACTCCTCTCCTCCTCCTCCTCCCTCCTCCTGCTCATCCTCCTCCTCCCCCGCCTACCCCCGCCCCTCTCTCCTCCTCCTCACTCCTCTCCTCCTCATCCTCCCCCCCCCCCCCGCTCCCTCCCCCTCCCCTCCTCCTCGTCATCCTCGTTCGTCGTCCTCCGCCCATTGCTGCATCCGACCTCATGCTCCTCCTTCCCCCCCCCAGCCTCGTCGCCTCCTCCGTCCTCCTCCTCCTCCCTCTTTTTCCTCCTCCTCCTCCTCCTACCTCCTCCTTGTCCTCCCTCCCCTCCTCCGCGGCGGCCTCCTCCTCTTTTTCCTCCTCCTCTCCTCCTCTCCTCCTTCTCCTCCGCCTTTATTCTTCCTGTTCCTGTCCCTTCCTCCGCCTCCTCCCCGCCTCCTCCTCGTACTATTCGTGTCTGCCTCTGCCGCTGTCCTGCGGTCACGCCTACTCCCCTCCGCCTCCCCCCCCCCTCCTACGTCCCCGCCGCCTGCCGCCTCAGTCCCGCCTCCGCCGCCTCATCCGCCTCATCTCGCCTCCTCCTCCTCTCCTCCCTCTCCCCCTCCTCCTACTCCGCCTCCTCCTCCTCATCCCTCCTCATCCTGCTCCTGCTCATACTCCTCCTCGTCTCCTTCCTCCTCCTCCTCCTCCTCCTCCTCCTCCTCCTCCTCCTCCTCCTCCTCCTCCCTCCTCTCCCTTTCCCCCTCCAGCCCAGACTTCACGCTGCGGAAGGAATCTTGGACCGTGCGCGAGCCCCCGCGATTGTCTTGCACTGCCGTCTGACAGGGATGGCCAGGGGGGCGCACATCGCGGGGAGGAGGAGGAGGAGGAGGAGGAGGAGGAGGAGGAGGAGGAGGAGGTGGAAAGAGGACGAGGAGGAGGAGGAGGAAGAGGAGGAAGAGGAGTAGCAGCAGGAGCACGAGTATGAGGAGTACGAGGAGGAGGAGGAGGAGGAGGAGGAGGAGGAGGAGGAGGAGGAGGAGAAGAAGTATGAGGAGGAGGACGAGGGGGAGGGGGAGGAGGAATGAGAAGGAGGAGGAGAAGGTGGAGGTCGCGCACCTGGCTGGCGTCGGCATCGTTTCCCGACGGTTGCCGAGGGCGGCCCCTGCCTAGGATAAGACCCGGGGGCTGCTTCTATGGCGGGAAAGGCGGCGGTAGTGTACGAAACGGCCGTCCTTAAGGGGGGGTAGCTTGATCGCTGCTCCCTATGAATCCACACCCCGTCCCCCGCCCCCCGACCGGCAGACAGCCTGGACCCATGCCTGCCCCCCCCCCCCCACGCACACACACACACACACACATGCAAAATACACTTTGCCTCCAATTCTGTAGCACGCGCGGGCGCCAATCGACCTTTTTGTATTGGTTGGTTGACACGAGTGGCATGGGTGCCAGCATATTACTTGCTGCGCGAAGGCCAACCATCCATTTCATAATACAATGCGAGATGCACACTGCCATTAATTATGGAGCACACGCGGGCGCCCCACGACTACTTTGCATTTATTTTTGGCGAGGACGGGATGGGTGCCGACAGATTGCTTATCCCGCGCAGGCTAATCCAGTCTGTCAATAAATAGCACCGAATGCACTTTAACCACATCTGCATCATGCACGGGCATCCCACGATCACTTCGATTGCTGACGGCATCCTCTCTGTACTCTTCCATGGGGGTCTTTTCTCCAGATGAGCGCGTTTCACTACTCGCAAAGACACTACCCGCAAGTGGCGCGGATCCGCCGCAGGGGATCTACGATCCTCTGCATCGAGGCAAACATGTGCTTTCTGACGTTTGCGGGTAGGCACTTTGCGAGTAGCGGAACGCGCTCGGTGTTTCTCTGAGCGTTCGCGCGTCCCACGGCCCCTCGAGGCGCCATATTGTGTCCAGCACTGCCAGTGCTTTGCGCTCCATGGTTGGAGCCGCCCTCGCTCACAGAACGATCAACACTTCGCTCCAGGGGAAGTCGAAGGTCATGAGCTCGGTGCAGTCGGGGCCCCAGGCGCCCAGGGTCTGTGCACGTCGGCAGAAAGAAGTACGTGCAAGCATGAAGAAGGCAGGCGGAGAGAGGAGATTGGGCAAAGGCCATCCCAGAGAATAGCAAGACGCATCGAAGCCATGCCGATTCTCGGAGAGGGGAGGCACCATACAACCGACTGGCATTGGTTCCGGAGGAGGAGCAGCAGGAGGAGGAGGAGGAGGCCAAGAGTAGAAGGAGGAGGAGGAGGAGGAGGAGGAGGAGGAGGGGGAGGAGGAAGAGGAGGAGGAGGAGGACGACGAGGAGGGAGAGGAGGAGGAGGAGACCAAGGGTGGGATGAGGAGAGGAGGAGGAGGAGGAGGAGGAGAGGAGGAGGAGGAGGAGGAGGAGGGAGCCCAAGAGTGGGAGGAGGAGGGAGGAGGAGGAGGAGGAGGAGGAGGAGGAGGAGGAGGAGAAGCAGGAGGAGGAGGAGGAGAATGAGGAGGAGGAGGAGGAGGAGAAGGAGGATGAGGAGGAGACCAAGAGTGGGAGGAGGAGGAGGAGGAGGTGGAGGAGGAGGAGGAGGAGGAGAAGGAGGAGGTAAGGAGGAGGAGGAACTAGAGTTGCGGCTGTCCGTCCGAGGGCGGCAGTGCAGCGGCGCACCAGGCACGCAGAGCCTGAGCGCGCCGGAGTGCCTGGCGCACCCAGGCGCGGCCGGAGCACGCGGCACACACTGTGCGCCCGCGGGACGCGTGGCGCACTTGGCGGGCCCGGCACGCTTGGGCCTCTGGGGTCCACGGTGCTTTTCTTGACGAACACGTTCGGGCGACCTGCGCGGCCGCAGACGCCCGGGGGGCGACGCCCGACCTATAGTGTCGGGCACCTTGTTGGGCCGCTGCGAGGTGCTTCCGAGAGCCGGTCAGGGCACCTCCGTGGCCTCTGGTGCCTGTGGTGCACCTGGAGCTGGTGGCGCACATGGCGTGCGCGGCGCCTGGGCGACATGGTGAGACTCTGGATCTGTTTTCAGGTGCAGGGAAGGCGGGGCGGGAGTGAGCCAAGCAGCTCACGTCTGGGAGGGATGCCCTAGTCCCTCCCGTGAACCCCTCCCTCTGGGTGCGGGAAAGGAAGGGGGAGAGGGAGGGGAAAGGAGGGAGGGGCAAATGAGGGCACCAGGATGATGGGGACAGTGAGGAAGGAGGGTGGGAGAAAGGAACGAGGGGGCCTCCTCCTTTATCCTGGTGGGAGGGGCCGCAAACGAATCCTCATCGCCCTGGAAGCGGGAAGGCATGGCATCGGTCACGAACTGGGGCAGGGACTGAGCCTGCACGTACGAGGGCGCCTGAGGGCGGGGAAGGGGGGGGGGCTCACGAGGAGGACGAGGAGGACGAGGAGGACGAGGAGGAGGAGGAGGAGGAGGAGGAAGAGGAGGAGGAGGAAGGGGCGGCCCGCGCTGACAAGGAACGACTGCAACATCCACCGCTTGTCGCTGCTGGTCATCCTCCTGCTCTTGCTCCCATGCATCCTCCCTCCCCCTTCCTCCCTCCGTCTCTCCTCATGCACCACCGCTCCTCCTCACGCCCTTGCCCCTCCCTCCTCCCTCGCTCCCCACGCTCCCCTCTTCTTCCCCCCGTCTTCTCTTTTTTGCCGGCGGTATGCTGCAAACGACGCACGTAAACAACACAGCCGTTACAAAAGCGCCTCGCCCAGCCTCCAGTCAGCAGGTCTGACAACTGGAGCTGTGCTTTTTGGGTGCTCCAGCCCAGTTGCGCACGAGCCGCTGTCACCGATAATCGAAAGCGTCCAACGCCCCAATGTTTCCCACATGCACTCCTCACACAGCCTGCCAGGCCCTAAACAGAAACCCTGGACTCGCATAACAAGGCACACGCATGTGTCACGGAATCGGTGCAGGAGCAGTTGCACTGATAAGGAAAAGAAGCGTCTTATTCGAATCAGACAACGGGTCTGGTTGTCCCAGCACTGACAGAGCAAGCATGAAAAAACACAACATGACTTTCGACAATTGTTTCCCGAGCTCCGTGTCAAACTACGAAAACTGGCGGGCGCAAGAGGCCCTCACAAAAGGAGGAAAAGGAGGGGGAGGAGGAGGAGGAGGAGGAGGAGGAAAGGAGCGAGCGCGAGCGACAACCGCGGATCTGCACGCTGGGTGTCCAACGTCTCAACTTATTCCTGCGTCATGTGGCGGCTACTGGGAAGGCGCCAGTCTCTGCAACGGGTCGACTTAGTTCCCGAAGGGTCGGCGACCGACAGAAGCCGCGGTTGATAATTCGTGAAACACGATGCGCGCGTCTCGTTGGGCAACCGAACCGGGTTCCTTGTACCATGCTCGGAACTCCTGCGGTTCAACTGAGCCTGGACACGGGAAGTGCCGAGGGCGCGTCCGTGTCAACGTGCCGGAAGCAGGACTGCCCACTTTCACGGACCCCGCGGTCACGTGCCAGTGCCTGTCGCAGGCCGAACCAACGAAGCGTACCTCTCTGGCTAGGAAAGCCTCATCAGGCAACGACGACGATGACAAACACGATGTCGACCCATGCGGCCGCGGTCACGTGCCAGTGTCTGTCGCATGCCGAATCAACGAAGCGTATCTCTCTGGCTGGGAGAGCCTCATCAGGCAACGGTGACGATGACAAACACGATGTCTACCCATGCGGCGGCGATTGCGATGACTGCTCGGCCATAGCTGGCGCGCATCTCTGCGGCTGCGCTTGCGCGCGCAATCTCGCGCGCGGAGCGGTCAGCTGATTTAGCACAGCCGACGCGGCCGCGACAATCCTCTGGCACGCCTGGGACTCCCTGTCTCCTCCCCTTTCCCGCTTAATCCATGATCATCCCGTCTTCCTCCTCTCTCCTCTGCCCGCCCTGCTCCCTCCTTCCTCCGTCCTGCGCCCTCCTTTCCTCCCCTGTTGTTCCTCTCACCCGTCCCCCCCACTGGCGTCCCTTCGCCCCCCAACCCGTGGCTCTGGATCTGGGATGAGACAAAAACGCATGCATGAAAAGGGTGCTAAACTCGCCTGGCGTCTTGCACCTTTTGGAACCGGCACCGCACGTCCCCCCCAAAAACTCGCTTGCGTGCTATACTCCCCGGAACTACTTTCATGTTTATACCTCTCCCTGCCGTCCTCTTCCGCACACACACACACACACCCTACGTGCTTGTGTGTTCTCCCTGCCTCTGTCACTGTCTCTCTCTCTCTCTCTCTCTCCCTTTTGCCTCTCTCTCTCTCTGTATGTGCATATATTATATATATATATATATATATATATATATATATATATATCTCTCTCTCCCTTTTGCCTCTCTCTCTCTCTCTGTAAGTGCATATATATATAAAGAGAGAGAGAGAGAGAGAGAGAGAGAGAGATTTAGACCGCAGACTCCCAAGATCGCCAGTACACTGTTTTATCGTGTCTGGAGCCAAGGCGATAACCTTCGATCGGTAGGGCGAATGCGTATGCCACCAGACGCGCTCGGAGATTCCCGAAGTAGACGCTCGTGAATGCATATTCACAGAGGACACGACAGCATACAAGTGGCTGTCGAGCGAGGGAATCCTCACGGAAAGACAGAAAAGCGAAAGAGGGCAGAGAAAGGGAGGGAGGGAGACTTGAGCAAGTACGTCGACGGGACGTCGATGCGGCGATCATGCATCTGCTAACACATCACTTCTGCTTGTTAAAAGCGGCCAGAGATTTAGACCGCAGACTCCCAAGATCGCCAGTACACTGTTTTATCGTGTCTGGAGCCAAGGCGATAACCTTCGATCGGCAGGGCGAAGGCGTAGGCCACCAGACGCGCTCGGAGATTCCCAAACCCGAATGGTAAACCTGGCCGGCAGGCCGAAAACAAACACAAGCAATGAAACAAGGAAGCTCAAGGTTTAAACCTGCTCCACAACAGAGAAGTTCGTAAAGCTTCGGCAACGTCAATCATGTTGCGAGCAATTGCACGGCAGAGAGGCTTCGGATACGCGGCGGCGATTGAAGTCCAGTGTCTACCACCAGGTGCACGCCCTGCCAACTCCTGATGCGGCACTCCTGATTCACTGCAGATTCGGCCACTGGCTTTAAAACGAAGACAGAGACGAGACAGGCGGCCGCTCCCCCACGCAACAATTCGCGTGGCCTTCTTCCACGGGGCCTTAAACTGGCATTGATCAAGACGGGCTTCGACACAGTCGCGAGAGCGTCTCAGCGAAATCATGCGGGGGGCCTCCCACATAAGCGACCTGTCGGGATTTTCAACGAAAACAGGCACCCCAACCCTGCCACAGGCGTCAACAAGACGGCAGGTGACATGAAAGGTTCTGTTACCTACCTCAAGACGCGCACGCTGAGACTGAGAAAGATCAGCACGGCCCATGGGATTAGACGAAGAACGGAGCGGTTGCCTAAAGCCTGCGACCAGGTAGTGCAGGGAGTGGCAAGCCACACTCCCAGCACAGCCCCCGACGCGATCCAGCCCCTCAGCATTTTCTCGACGGTGCGAACCAGAAGATTGCCATGCACACCCATCTGGATGTCGAGCGAAACAGCAGCGTATCCAGCCTGTCTCAGCTGGTGGCCGACTCCTTGCGAGCCGGCAAACAGGTCTAAGAAAACGCAGTGCTTGCGCCGGCGGGCAACTTGCAGTGCATGCCTGAACTCACGGCGGAGCCGACGCGCTATGCCAGCAGCGGGGCGGCAGAGTGGCGGCGGCCCACCTGCTTGCGGCTGATCGCCACGCCAGCGGACCGCTTGCGAACCACCCCTCAGCTCAGGGCGTCGAAGCTCGGCAGCCCAGCGGAGCCGCCCACGGCCAGCCTCATGACGAGCAGCCCGAGCAAGTCGGGCACGCTGTCGACCACGCCCGAGAGCAGGAAGCCACTCTCCACCAGTCGCTGGAAGTTCTGCTCCACGATCTCCCCGAACTCGAAGCTGGCCAGCGGGGCGAGGCTGATCTCTCGCAAGAGCTTCGACTCCTTGGCGTATCTGGCCACAGATATTACAATCCAGAGCGCCATCCGCCTATGCCCCAGAGCGAGAGCGATCCCCGCGATGGCGAAAGTCGCAGACCTCGGCAGCGGGCAGCGCGTGGAACTGGGCACGCGGCGCCTCCAGGCCGTGGCTGCCCTCCAGCTCTGAGCCAAGCCCGCCTTGCCGGCGCGCCTCCCCTCGGGCATGAAGAACGACAGCGCGGCCAGCAGCTGGCTCCCCTCCACGGCGGTGGCGCCCGCCAGAAACTGGTCGTTGAGGTGCCTCAGCCCGGCGAGGTCCAGCTCCAGAATCGGGGGCCACGAGACCTGGTGGGAACGGCAGTAGTCCGCGAACCTGTTGCACAGGCCGCGGCACAGGGTCTCGGTCGACCCCTTGACTGCAAGCCGCTCCAGGGCCGTCAGTCCCGCTATCGGCCAGCGGCTCGCCAAGAGGTCCCGCGCAAGGCTGGCTCGCGCACCCGCTTGCGGGCCTCCCTCGGGGCGGCGGCCAGCACGGCGCGGCATCCACGGCAGCAGCGCCCGTCTCGGCCGCGACGTGAAGGGCGCGATCCTTCGGCAGACGGCCGCCAAAAAACCATCCTCGGAGCCCACGAGAGTACGGATCGGACGGGTTGAGCTCTGACGGAATCCACCTCACATATACTCGAGAGCCTGAGGCCAAACTGAGAGCTGCAAGCTTACGAAGAGGACCTCTAAGGTATGCAGAACGAGCACGTCCCTTCGTGGCCGCTAGGGCCAAAGGCAGGTTGTCTACCAGAGCCAACAGACGCTTCCCAAAGGCCTCCGAGCTGCGCAGAAGATGCCGAATCCCAAGTGCGAGAGCTTCACCTTCGAGGCCCAGGATATTCTTGTCCTCTGAGATCTTCACGGCCGCAACTCCTGCCCAAGACGACTCCTCCAAGACATCCCTGCGGGCCTCATCGAAGCTGGACTCGGGCGCGTTGAGGAACTCCAGAGGCTGCAGAGCGGACTCGGGCACGTTGAGGAACTCCAGAGGCTGCAGAGCGGACGGAAGAGACGATGATGAGAAGATGGCGGGGCCAAGCGCTCTCTCACGCGCTCGAGCTCCACCTTCCACACGGTACCGCCATCTTTCGGACTGGCGCCCGATCTGTGCAACAACAGCCGGCGCCACTCTGCGCCGCACAAGCCCCAGGCCAAACTCCGAGGCGTCAGAAGCGACGACCTGTGAGTGCCAGGCCGACATGAGGTCCGTCTGCAGCAGCGGAAGGAGGCAGCGGACCTGCCAGAGCTCGCGCCTCACGCTCTGCCACAGCATGATGGGCTCGCTCCCCGCCTTGGCAGCGAATGCGTAGGCGGCCTGCACCGGACACAACGACTCACGTCTCAAAAGCGCGGCCCAGGTGACGTGGCCGAGGAGCACCTTCATGAGACTCCCACTGCACCTCCCAATGCGAAGCAGCTTCTCAATGGCGAGCCGCAGCCGCCACAGGCACTTGGGGCGAGTAGCCAGGAAGCGGCCCTCGGACAAGCTCAGCCCCAGAAACTCCGCGTCGCGGGAGGCGGACTCCTGGTCGTGGACCACCAGGCCGAGCTGCACCAGCTGCTCCTTGACCGCCTGTGCCCTGCGGTTGGCCACCTCCGCGCACGTGTCAATCACGAAGTAGTTGTCGACGTAGCCCGCCGCTGCCGATGGGCCGCCACGCTTCACCTGTCGGCCAGGCTGGCCGTCCTCCACGAGGCAGCTGGGCTCGAAACCACCCAGGCTTAGGCCGCGCCGAAGAACGCCCTGGCAGAAGTGAAGCGCCCACGAGAAGCCCATGGGCAGCACGCGGAGGCACGGAGTAATGGGTTCCCCCGGCCCCACTGGCAGGCCGGTCACCCCGCAGCTCAGCAAGAACCCCGCGTCCAGGCTGGGCAGAGAGAAGTGCTGCACCATGTCGGGCGGCACCAGCATATGGTAGAAGGCGGCCTCCAGGTCACCAGAGGAAACGTAGACCTGCTGGTCGGCCTCCAGCGCTCCGAACGCAGAAGGAGTTGGAAGACGAGTGGATGGAGCGGGCAAGAAGTCGCAGTTGATGACCCGTGTGTCGAAGATGATCCTGAGGCGCTCGTCCTTGCGTCGCACGAAAAACAGTCCGAGGTCGCCGCCATGCCCATGCTTCCAAGTGAGCATTCCCCGACGCCAAGCCTCTCTGAGAAAAGTAGCATAGTCACGAACATTGCGCTTCAATAGCGGGTCGACGTGTGCGCCCCGCGGACGCGCCTCAGCGCGGAGGCTCCGAGCGGCCTGGGAGGGCCGTAGCATGTGCTCCTTCCAATCCCTGAGCCACAAGGCGCCCGAGCCCCCGAGCAGGTCAGTCAAGTACACCGGCTTGCTGGAGAGGGACGGCCAGGCGATCTTGTCGCCGTCAAAGGGAGCGACGGGCCCGCCACCACTATTGTAGCCGGGCGCGCCCGACAGGAGCGCGCAGAGGGCTCCCTGTCCTGAACTGAGATCTGCTGGAGGAGGTCCCACGTGCCGATAGCGATGACGAAGATGCTCCAGGGCCAAGCGCTGACCCGCGTTGGGGCTGACGTCGGAGCGGGAGCCAAAACTGCCATACAAGTCATTCAACACGTCGATGCCCTCGGCAGCCCACTTGTCAGCATGGGCGGCACGAAGGCGACGGCGGACCACGATACGAGAAGCAGGTCGATCGCAAAATTGCTGGTTCAGCGTCGCCAGCGCGGGCAAGGGGAACAGGTCGCGCTGGCGAGCCTCCTCCATGACCGAAAGAAGACGCGGCACCACGGGCGTGAAGGGCACGCGCGACGCAGGCTGCCCACACCTGCGCCGCGAGGCGCTCAAGCCTCTGTCCCCTGCCCTCGCTGGCCCTTCTTGCCTGGTCTCTTGGCTGAGGGCTTGGGGGGGGCTCTCTCCTCACGAGCTTTGCGTCGCTCCTTCGCCAACGCGGCCCCCCGCGAGAGCTCAGCAGCAACATGCGCCTGCAACAGCGGGCACACGCAGAGATTCCCCCTCGAGAGCTGGTTCCCGAGGAAGAGGTGCCTGTCATAGGCCTCGTCGTCCTGGTCGTCGTTGAGCACGTGCCTGCACCTCCCCTCCTGCACCTGCAACGAGCGACACACCACTTCGAACGAGACGAGCGAAGCCACATTAAGCTGGTCGTAGCAAACTCCCTCGTGCAGGATGCGACAACACTCCTCGTGCTCCACCACCCCTGGGTCCGCATCCGTCAGCCTGAAGGTGGTCTTGAACACGGTGTGCCGTCCAAGAGGGGTGCCGCCGTGCTCGCAGATGAAGCGGCACACCCAGAGGCATGTCCGCGGCCCAGATAACCTCCAGTCTGGCCAGGGATACTCCACGAGGCGCAGAACCCCCTCTCTGAAATCGATGTGGCGCTGGCCCAGCATGTCGTAGGTGACGGCCAGCACCCTGGGGTCAGGCGAGGGGGGAGGCGCTCCAGCAGCTCCGCCCGCGGGCGCCATCGGGAAAGCAGGGATCCCAGCCACTCCAGGGACAGCCGCCGGCGCGGCCACAGCCGCGGCAGCCCCCGCAGCAGCCGCTCCAACTCCAGGAGCGACGGGTGGCGCAGGGGCCGCCGGCAGTGGCACTGCGAGCGCTCCTGGAACGGGAGGTACCACTGCAGGACCAGCTCCAGCGGCTGCAGCTCCCCCAGCCGCCGCGGGCGCCGCCCCAGCCCCAGGCGGGCCTCCAAGGGCGGCGACCAGCGCGTCCACGCCCCCCGCAAGCCCAGCTGCGGGACCCACGCCACCAACGCCGCCGGCGCCTCCCGCTGCCACGCCTGCGGCGAGGGGGCCTCCAGCGGCACCAGGATCAGGAAGCCCATGCACTCCAGCAGGAACACCCAACACGTTCCCATCGGCCAGCTCTAGATTCAGCACCGCGGTCGGGGGTCTAGGGAACCCAGCTGCCACAGCTCGATCAACTGCACTCCATACGTCTGCTGCCGATGGGAGCTGCCGAAATCTGTGAACATGTCCACCCGCGAGGCCAGCAGGTGTCCCGCCCTGGCCTGTCAATCTAATCACCTCGGCAACGTCGGGCCCCGGTGCGTTCGCCTCCACGTAGTCGTCCCCGTCGGGGGTCACTATGTACGACAAAGCGCCCCTCTCACCAAGCGTCAAGCGCTCGTGCCAAAGCAGGGGCCCTGGGACGGGATACCTCACTAAATAGAACGAACCCGCCATCAATGAACCTGTTGATGCCGAAGCTTGCTAGCTCGAGCCTGAGCTGCCGCGAGCTCGCCAAAGTCGACCTTGATGACAGAGGCAGCCGAGACCGCCTGAGCCCCGCTGTCCAGCCTTAGCCGTTCCCGTGCGATGCAAGCGCCGGCGCCTCGCTGCAATCCTCGAGCCAGCTGCAAGACACCTCGGATCACCAGCTTGCCTCCTTCCACCAGCAGCAGCCCCAACAACCCAATGCCGAGCTGCAGCGTCCAGGAGGGCGACGACTCGCCTGCCGACGGGCAGGCCGGGCAAGGGGTACACGGCGATGGGCAGCTATGTCCCTCGCAGGCCTCCACCGCAGCCGAGATGCACTCCGCCAGCGGCACTAGGCGTCCAGAAGGCTCGCGGACCTCCAGGTGCGAGGAGCCTCCAGCAGCCGAAGGCGGCACCAGCGGCACAGCGACAGGCCCCACAGGCGTGAGCCACCAGCGCGCGAGGCCGATGGCACCGAAGTGTGCGAGGATCGAGAGCCCAAGCCCACGGGCGAGCATGGGCTGGGGGCAGCTGTGCCCCCTCAAGACTTGAGCAAGTACGTCGACGGGACGTCGATGCGGCGATCATGCATCTGCTAACACATCAATTCTGCTTGTTAAAAGAGGTAATATATATATATATATATATATATATATACCTACCCAGAACAAGCGCCGCTACCGACTACTGTCAGGCAGCGAACGATGGATGGCCGGAGCATCCCGCGGAGCGCCAGGTGCGCTACGCCAGCGGGCGAGAGTTATGCTCGCCCGCCACCTCGCGGTGCGGGAGGCGGGCTGCGCCTTCGCCCTCGCTGCGCGTGGCACGGGGCTGGCAAGTCCCTCTCCCGAGTCCTGGTGGTGTCGGGGGCGCGCAAACATGGATTAGCGATCCATGGATTTGGCGCGCGGTCGCCAAATCCATGGATCGGGGGAGGTGCCCTCCCCAAAATGCGGCCGGTGCCGCCTCGCTCGGCGGGGAAAATCCGCGATTTCCCCTGGAAACGGGACGCGTCGCAAATCCACGCCCCCTTGATCCATGTTTGCGATCGCCTGATGGCGGGGATGGGGGCCAGGAAGGCGGTGTCCCAAAGCCCTGCATGACACAAAACCTTTGGGGGGGGTACCCAGAGACTGCCTGCAGCCTGTCCAAAGCACTGCCCCGTCTTGGGGCATCCTCCAAGCAACCCCAGGAAACCCCAGTGAACCTCAGGGAGACCTAGCAACCCCAAGGAACCCCAGCAACCCCAGGGATCCCCAGGAACGCCACGAGGACCACAGGAGGCCCCGAAAACCTCTTCCTAGAAAACACCCCAGGGAGCCCCACGAAACCTTTGGAACCTCCAGGGAACCCGACGGCCCCAGGGAGCCTCAAGAGGCCCCAAGAGCCTCCAGAACTTCCCAGGCACCCCCAAGGCCCCTGGGAACCTTGGGGACCCCACGAAGTCCCAGGGAGCCTCCAGAGGCCCCAGGAAGCCCTCGGGAACTCCAGGAGGCCAAAGCTGGCCCCCCCGAGGCCACTGTCGATGCGGCGCAGCGATGGCGCCGCCAGAGCAGCCGCGTGGACCTTCGATGATCCATCCGAAACTACAAGGAAACATGATGCTCCTTGAGCGCCCGACAAGTCCTGACGCGGCCTGGCGGATGCGGAGAAAGCCCTGCAACTTTTTGGGGGAATCCAAACAGTACCGATACCGCTGCTCCCCGGACCTCTCCCAGGGTGCGTTCTGACCAGGATTTCGAGGCGAATCCAGCGGTGGCGAAGAGGGCCGCCCAGGAGGCCCCAAAAGGGGGAAAATCAGGAAAGGGAAGCGGTATGGGTACCTGGTTCTCCTCTGATTTTTGATCGTGCTGACCACCCCCCGGGCGGTGGTCGCGCAGCGATGCGCCCGTACGCGCGAGGCGCGTATGGCGCACCCGTAATGGCGTCCTCGCGCACGCGCGCGCTTCCCGTCGCGCAACGAGGCGCCGTCCGGTTCGCGGATCGAGACCACTCCAGACAGGCAAGGTCCTGCTTCTTTCGACACGCGGTCCCTGGAAGTCCCCTGAGATCCGATGCTCCAACAAAAATTGGAGCGGCGGGATTTGGCAATTTTCGGCCTCCTTCGCCGGGCCTCGGGAGCGTCAATAAACGACTCGGGACGGAAAACCGGTCCTGGGGAAGTGGTCGGGACCTTTGGGTTTGTGGATGCCACGACAATGGACTCCCTGACAGTCCTATCATTGAGTGTAATATATGTTTAAAATGTCGGGAAACGTTATAAGCATGTGTTAAACATGCGTTTTACATGTTTAAAACATGTGTTTAACATGTTTTAGACACATGGAAATTATTTGGCAACATGGTTCCTCTCCATTGATCGCCCTCCACAACCTTTGGGGTCCACGCACCAACAAAATTGGCGCAGCCAGATGTCTGGGTCCCGATCACTCTCGGCTTCCCATCCCAAGTTCTTTGGCGGTCCCGGGGCCCGGCGAGGGCCTCCAGCGCCCGAGAACGGCGCAAAGCCTTCGTCCTGATGTTTTTACGACGCGATCATGTCTGGGATGGCGCCAACACATCATTCCGAGGTCGCCGCCGCTGCGACGCGCGAGTCCTCCCACGCGAGCTCGAGCGCTGCAAGCTCGTAAGGAAGCTGCTCGGTGTCGCGCGCCGATCCCCGCGCAACAACTTTCGAGGCCGTCGTCGGTGCGACGAGCGAGTCCCGCCCACGCACCCGTCACCTGGCCCGCGGATCACATCGAGCAACGATGACGACGACAACCCGGACCCCCTCGCGTTGCGAAAAGAACAAGACGGGAGGTTGCCCTTACCAGGCCTCGGGACCGTCAAAAAACGACTCAGGATGAAAAGCCGATACGACTCAGGATGAAAAGCCGATCCCAGGGAAGGGGTCCAGACCTCTGGGGGTCGACGCTGCGGAACAAATCACGACGTCGGGGGTCCGGGAAAGACGATGTCGACCCCTGCGGCGGCGATTGCGATGATTGTTTGGACATGGCTGGCGCATCTCTGCGGCCGCGACTGCGCGCGCAACTCGCGCGCAGAGCGGCCAGCTGGTTTGGCACAGCTGATGCGGCCGCGATGGCGCTTACAGTCATCGGCCTGACCCAGGGAACGACAAGTAAGGAACGAAGCCCCTTATTTTCCGAGGGATAACGCATCAGGAACGAGATACAGATGTGTGTGTGTATATAAATAACGCATAAGGAACGATAAACAACGCGTGCAAGCCGCAGGAGCGACCGAGCCCCTTTTGAAAAGGAACTGCTCCTTATGCAAGCCGCTCGCTGCACCGATGGAAGCTCCCCAGCGCGTGTCAGAGGCCGCGCTGGCGCGCGGGCGATTCGGTGCGGGCCGGTGGCTCGGGCGGGCGCGGCGATGGCGACGCCGTCGGCAGCGGCGGAAGCGAGGACGGCAGCAGCGAGGGCGGCGGCGGTGATGGCGATGACGACGGCAAGGCCGCTGACGGCGCACATGCTGGTGACGCCGAGGGTACGGGACGCGAAAACGACCACAGCCATTGCTTTTCTTTTGTTGCCGCCCTCCAGCCAGCATGAGCAAAGCAGTGGTTGTGGTCGTTTCTCACTAGCTTGGCACCAGGGGAACGACCACAGCCACTGCTTCTTTTTCGGCCGGCTCGAAGGCGGCGCAAACAAGAAGCGGTGGCCGTCCCGCAGATGGCGATGATGATGTCCATGCGTCGATGACGACGGCGCTTGAGCGATGATGGCGGCAACGGCAGCGATGGCCGATGACGATGAGGTGGTGCGGCGGCGCCGGTGAGGTTGATGGTGAAGTGCGCGCGCGCGAAAATCCAAGACCCCTGTACGTTTTCGAAGTGCCTCGATATGACATGTGTCGAAAGCCAAGGGTTTGGAAGGATTTCGACGTGCGCGCGCGGCGGATGCGCGCGCGCAGGTGGCCCGTGTTGGCTAAATTCTTGCCTCCTGGGGGAGGCCCTAATGTACTACGGCCCCTCCTTCGCTCGATTTCCTCCTATATAGCCCCAAGATGGCCCCCGGTGCTCCCAAGGGTGCCCGAAGACGGCCCCGAGAAGTGCTGAGGAGCCTCCAAGATGCCCCCACGAGGCCACCAAGGTGCCCCAAGAGGCTCCCAAGAGACCTCCGAAAGGCCCCAATAGGCTAGCCAGAGGAACCCAAGACGCCCCAAGAGGCCCCCCAGACTGCAAGACACCCAAAGAGGACTGACATCCGAAGAGACTCCGAGGGGCATGCAAGAGGCTTATGGCCTTTCTGTTCGCCCTCCCTCTTCTCCTCCTCCTCCTCCTCCTCCTCCTCCTCTTCCTCCTCCTCCTCCGCCTGTTACCCCCCCCCTCCTCCCTCCCTCCTCCTCCTCCTCCTCCTCCTCCTCCTCCTCCTCCTGCTCCTCCGATTCCTCCTCCTCCTGCTCCTCCTCCTCCTCCTCCTCTTCCTCCTCCTCATCCCCTCCTCCTCCCATATTCCACTGCATGTTCCTCCATATCCCTGATCAGGCCAACTCGTCTGGGCATCGATCATGTATGGGCTGGTAGGGTTTTTTGTCCGCGGGCGCGCGAAGACGAGTCGAACGCCGAGCGTGCTAGGGCGGACCGCGCTCCGTAGCAAAGAGAAAAACAGTGAGGGCTGGTAGGGATACTTTTTTGGTCGCGGGCGGACGCGTGAAGCAGTCGCCAAAAGGGTAGTCCGGGGCGCGGGCCAGCCTAATTAAGCTACCGCGACAGGCGCAAAACGGCCGGGCCAGCACTCAGAAGCGGCTGCCGGGGGCTGCAGCTGAGGGAAGCTGGTGGGGAAGTCTGTATACGCCCAGGGTAGAACTGCACCTTGCAAGCCGGTGGCAGAACGACGCCACTTTGGAATTAAGCCCTGCACGCCAGGGACGCATGGTGGGCTCTGTAACTGCGAACACGCGTCAAACTAGCGAGGCGTTACCACTGCCAGGAACCCAGGAAGCGGTGGCTGGTAGGGATACGCGAAGCGTCCAGGTTCCTTTCAAAACTGGTGTACTTGCTGTGATTTCAACATGTTCGCGCGCGTGTGGATTTTGTCAGGTTTGTTCTGAGGGGTCTCGGAAGCAATGTTTTGCGATCAACGAATGCGCACTCATAGTATTATTTGACAGGGGGTAAAGGGGGGCGGTAGACGGACTGCCTGGGATGGCGCGAACTCATACGCAAAATGAGCGCTGAGGCATCATCATGCGTAATATGCTGTACGCCATGGGGGTCGACAAGTCCAGGGGGTTGTGGTACAGTCG